TCAAAGGGTTGTCCTAATTTCAAAGATATATGATCTTTTTATGAATACAATTGCAAGAAGGAAAAAGTGTAAGAACGCAACTATCACTGGATATGTCTTTATATGAACCTCATTCATGTAGCCCATTACACATTTAATGCATGCACTTACCACATTCTCCATAGCAATACTGTCCCTATACAAAAGACCGTCATGAATGATAGGCCCAGTAACCCAATTTTGCTACGGAGTCGTATTGTCATACGTCCCAGCGACACTATTCTCCAAACTTTTCGCATAAATCCCTTTGAATGAATGTCTTCTTCAATAAAATGCCTTTCCTCCGTTCAGCAGCAAGCTTACAGAACACCATAAAAACCAGAATTCGCATCCCAAAGCGACTTGATTAAATCCACTTTTGATGATTGAAGAGGCCGACAGTCTTGACTCTAAATCCTCGCGCAACCACTTCAGTTTGCTACGATCTGATTTGGATGCTTCTGCTTGGTGGATTCAAAGGAGCCTTTTCACACTTTATTCAGACTTTGCAGATGTTACAAATATTTTTGCTTCTGTTTATCTGCACTGTTGCGCCACTCAGCGTTGTGCGCGATTTCTCAACCACTGAAAAAGCGCCATTTTCCGCAGAGGTAATCTAAATCTCTCTAATCAAGGAACTACAGCATGTAGTTAGTTGATCATGCAGTTTGCCTTTTTAGGCAGGTATATTTTCAAATGAAGAAACAAGCCAGGCATTTCCAATGGCTCCAGATACTGATTTCGAAGAAGCCAGGGAGAGGACAAGAATAGGTAAATCACGTCGATTCACTACTCCCTATATCAGAATTCTAGCGTTTCAGGTGACGCTTCAATTATTGTCGATGCTAAACCACCAGGATTTGAACCTCAGCCTCCTGGTATTGAAGAGACTTCGGAAATGTTAAAGAACAAAGAAGATATTGCAAAGTGTGAGTTGTAGTCAGATCAGCTTCATATTTCTCTCATTTGAAAAAGGTCGTCTGCTCCTCATAATAATTTCCAATACAGTAATGATTTTCATCTCACATAGATAATCCTCTCAAATTATATGTCTAGGTGAGGACTAACAATATTGAACTGTTCAAAGGAACTTACATTGAAAACATTATAACTATAAATGATATTTTGTGTGTAGTGCACCCTGCCAAATAAACGCTCTCTTAATTCTTCCCAAGATATGATTTTGTTTGAATGAGCGGACTTTTCAACACGTCAAAAGGCTTTGGACCTAGAAGCTTAGAAGTCTTCAATAAATAAGTCTTTGTAGTTAGTACCACGGCTCTAAAGGATTATCCGACGACAGCTCCTTTAGTAAACACAGAATATGCATCAGTTGACAGTGCTGTTGAATCGTTTGATGACAAGGTAGGTGTTGATAGGTTACTCGCTTGTTACCTCAATTGAAATATTTTAGGATTTCCCTGTGGAACAAGAGGAAGCGTCTGGAGAACATAAAATTACAACCGGCAGTTCACATGCAGATGTTGAGTTTTCTTCACCGAATTTGGAGGGCTCTGGACAGGAGTTGTTGAATAGAAGCGTTGAGAAAGTGTCAGGCGAAGTTGGGCAGCATGAAGTCGGAAAGCGTCCTTGCGATGCACGCCAATCTACCGTTGTGGAGGTGGCCGTTACTGAGCAGATAGTGAATAACGAAACCACGACTACGCTAGGATACAGTGACACTTCCTATGGTGATGTAACTGACTTCGAGACCACAGTGGACTTATCTACGGTAAATTACGACTCTACCGTTGTCCCGCCAGTAACCTCAACGGAGCCTGCGACAGATCAATACTCTACGGTGGTTTTGGAGGCAACATCCACAATACCCACGACTGATATGTTAGCTTTAGAAAGCACTTCTCCTTCCGAACAAGAGCTACCAGGTAGTGCAGTATTAGCAGTTTCGGTAACCCAAGAGCCATCCGAAACGACTGCGATAATTGCTGACTACGAAGCACCTCACGCTACCATTTCTGTATCTGATATAACACCTCAAACAACTACAGTTTTGGAGCAAAACTACGACGGAGTGCCCTTAGGATCCAGCTACGAGATGTTGCCTCAGACACCTGGCTTCGAACAAGCGCCAGTTCATCACTCTTCTCTCGACACTCTGACTACCCCTGCAGATCAGAAACACCTGCAAGACTTTTCTGAAACCGCCAGGGATGTCGACGTTGGAAACACGATATTGAAAGCACCGGATGTGAAGAAGACCTCCACTTCACGTACATTGGCAGAACCTAAAACATTTAATGGTGATAACGATCTCAATTCCATTGTCGGGAAGACCGCCCTTGTCGGCCCTCCAGCACATCGTGCACCTCCTCGACGAGGAGCGGTTGAAGGTACCTGCTCACTATGGAGACGAGTTTACAACCCTCAGATCACAGATATTTTGCCAAAGAATTGAAACAGAAGCAAACTAAAGAGAATGGCGAAATGTAACTGTTAATTCACATATTTTTAGGTTGCCCCGAACCGGGACTTTGCGCTAAAAACTGCTTTGTATACATCAACGAAAGAGGATGCCAAGACTGTCAATGCCTCTGGCAAGCTTTGTGTGAGTTTTTTTTTTTTTCAGAAAAACCTCTCT